AGGCTGGATTGCGCGTGATGCATGTTTCCAAAAACAATGGTGATGTTTTCCACAGAGTCCATGTGCCTGAAGTTACTCCTGAAAGGGTAAGTTTTGTTTGTGTGTGGTTCATGTCGCGTCAAATACATTGAATTGTCCAAATTCAAACTGATCTTGTTTAAAAGTACATATTTGTATTGCAGGGTAATGCGTGATCTTATCTTAAAGGTGTTTTCTAACATGATGAACGTTATTGGCGATGCTTAGCAACAGCTGTGTCTTTTCGTAAAAGAGGGTACGAAAATACATGATATAGTTATAGAAATGAATTAAAGATTTGCCTAATTAAAATATGTTCATAATTAAAATTAGTCACAAAAAATAGCCTTTAGGTTCATCAGTTCTAAGGCCCTTTTTCCCTGGAAAAGAAGTATATAAATTACCTACGTAAAGAAGCTTCAAGTGCATCTAAGGTGAAAAAATAACTTTAATTAAAAAGATTCATTTCACCAATCTGGATTCAACTCTTTATTCGGAATTGCGATATCGCGTCTCTTTCTATTGCTACTGCCGTTCGAAATTTGGTCCAAGCTGTGAATGAAGCAAAGAGTCTATGACGTAATTGGGGATCTAGAGTCACGTGGCTCGATCCACACAAACGCCATAGAGGTTGAGTTGATATCAATTTGAACGAATGAGTTCTCGTTTGGTAACAATATCAAGTAAATAACGAAGCTACAATTCTTGCCAAATATAACTGGAACGCCTTCCCATTGCAGCATGCAAATAAACAAAGCAAATCTAAAACTACCTTACCAAAATATCACTGCCTTTTCAAAAATTTCGACACCCTCTCCCCGTACAATGTTGATTTATTTCTCAATACTTTCATACAGCTTCCAGTAAAAAAACAACATTGTAATGAGGGGGGGGGGGGGGGGGGGATTTGTCAAAAAAGCTTCAGCTATGCACAAGTGTTCCAACAATTTTGGCAAGGATTGTAGATTAATTACATATAGAGAAAGTTCATTCATAAAGTCAAGCTCACTTTTCGCTCTCTGTGAGCTAAGAGCATGATCATAATCGTTTCTGTAAGGCTAGGCCAAATCAAATCACCGCAGCAGACATTTTGTTATGGCGACAGCTTTCTAACTCTGGTTCAAAATATTTGAAATAAACGCTATTATTTCCTGGTTGTATTAGGTCTAAAAATTCCTCTTCATGAACTTTTGGTTCGCACATACGTCTTGAACAACACTCGATTTTGCTCCATTCCATCGCTGACCAGGTAGGCTGTTACTGTGCTGGTTCATTAGGCCATTGTATTTTCATGCTTCCCGAGCATCATCAGCAAAACCTCCTGACGTCACTAGAAGCATGCTTTGTTTTGCCTCTTTTCTGTGTTTTGTCACTACCCGAGCCTTTTAACAGCATATTCACATTCTACCTTCGGAAATAATTTAGTTCATCGAAATCAGCAAAAAGTTTCACATTGGTTTCAAACAAAACAGATGTGGCGATTTTTTTACCTCAGAAGCTCTTCAAGGAAATTTACGTGAGTATCAGCCTGAGCAGTCGATTAAGAGATATAGCCGAGTCTCGATATAGCTAACTGGCAAAGCGAATAAAGAATCAGCAAAACTCTAATTGATCACGTCCCTACCACTAGAAAACAAAACATATCTGAGGTAGATGTCTTTTAGTTGCCGATTGTTGGTCAATGTCTGGTTTGCCGAGTGCGTAAGATAGGCCCCTAAAGTCTAAAAATCATGATACCAAAGATAATATAAGTTTCAAAGTCTTAGCAAATTTGATAGGGTAGCTTTTCTTTACTTTGTATAACAGGTAGAATGGGAAACCATCTTGAGCCCCTTACCAACGATTTAGACATTATGACAGCCACGTTTCAAAAGACTTTCGAAGGAATCCTGAACATTCACACACTTCTGAGGAGGCAAAAAAGACATGCACCGTGGATCATTTATGAAATTAAAAACGTATGAAAGAAGTAAAAGAATAGAGAGAAAGATGGGATAAACTCTTCAGTTTTGTGACGAGGATACAAGGTTTTGTGTGTGAGAAGGAAGAACCGCAGGATAGGCTGTCCGTCGGATTCTGTGAATCTTGCAATGAGTATAAAATAGATACGACGATAAAATTCAGACACAAAAAAAATGTGACATCGAAAGAGAACGGATACAAGGCTTTGTGCAAAAAATGCCAAAAGCAATAAGACATGCTTTTCAGTCATGAAAAGTGTGAATATTTTCTGGGTACAACTGAATGTATCTGAGAACTGACTCGCTACATGCAGAGCAGCTGAAATTCCACCAGTCTGTCAGGTTTCTTCTTGACCTTATCGCTTCATTAACAAAAACTTGAAAAATTTCGTCATACCACAGTTGTTGCTTATATCTTCTATTCCTTGCCTCTTTTAATGCGAAGGGTTCAGAAGTTGAGCTGAAAATTTAGAGGAACTTCAATCTTGTCCGTTTGTATCAACGCCATCTTTTAAATATCTAGGAATAGAAATGTATAAGAAGATTATACCTTTTTTGGTAAACCTAAAAAGCCTGAAAGCGTCTGTTCTCAGGTTGTGAAAAAAATGCTTCACAGCGGTACACCTTTGTTCTTTCTGTTTTGCGAACTGAACTGCAATTATAGTTGTAGAAGTATTTAGTTCAACGTTTCAAGATGATTTTTCAGGTAATTTGCAGGAAATTTTGATTAAAAATAACAATAATGCAAAATGCAAAATAAATTTTTAAACCAACTTGCTTCTTTAGCTAAAACGTTGAGTATGCAGAACTAAAGGCTTAACTCATCTTTGAAAATATTCTTTGAAAATAAGTGTATCTTTGGAATCAAGTGTTTCTTCTCCCGCCCCCTCCGTTTCCGGAGCACACCAGAATCGTATGAACCACCGTGCATAAATGACCGATTTTACTCGGCCTTAATGTCGCAAAAAATTTTCTATTGTTTATAATCCTCGCAGGGGGACCAAAGTTTTGTCCACCCCTGTACAAGTGATTCAAAGCACCATGAGCAAAAGACTTGATTTGATTTGATTTGATTGAATTGATTTGATCGATTTGACTAATTCATTGATTTGGTTTGACTT